TGTCCCATGTGCGTTCAACGTGGTTGATTTCATCGTTCCAAGTATCGAGCTCTTGTCATTTAATGACAAAGTTGATTTTTTTAATCGCTGCACACGTTCGATGCAGTCGAATATATTTACGCGTTATCTGCGTTTATATTTAGCTTTTGGAGAAAGGCAAATGTTACATGTTAATATTATAATTTGCGTGTTAATTATTTCTTTTTTAAATGAAATTTTGTTTAACGATAATTTAGCTGTGAGTCATAAGCGATGGGCATGTTAGTTACCGACATCATAAATTCGCAATCAAGAGAGAAAACACGCGCGCGGGAGAAAACTTTTCACTTTTCTCAAACATTTCACCTGTGCGCGAAATGTTTCCTGTTTATCGAGGAGATTGTCTCCGCAATTAAGCGAAAATGTAATTAGCGAGCAAACCGTCGCACAACCGAGACAAGAGATACGTGACAATCGCAATGTATTGCAACATTTCACGTAGACAAGAGATGATTGCGCAACAATTTAATTCTTAAACATAAAGCAAGTATCTCTCTAGAAGAGATTGCATCATGTCTCTTCAAAATTCTTTAATGATTTTTTTTTTTTATTTCAATAAGTTCAATAAATAAGAGATAGAAAAATGGACAAATCCAAAAAAAATGAGCAAATGCAATATTATAAATACAGTTAAGAAGATTTTTGAGCTTTTGTGTGATTTTATTCCATGATGACATCAACATAGTAATCGCAACAAAAATCTCAAATCACAAAAATTCTCCAAGCGCAACAAAAATTTTATAATTTTCTAGCGAATCTTGCTTTAGCAATAAAATTTTTCAGATAACAGTAATTGATTGTCATTAGATAAATGACATTAATTTTTCTCACGGAACAGCAAGGGGCTGATAGATATATCCTAGATACGTAGAAGCAACAGGCCGACCTGGTTGCTCGCATTGGCAGCTCGCGTGATTAGTTAGTGATTGGCACGTGAGACGAGCCTCCTGCCGCCTCCTTATCAACGCTTATTCACGAGATCGGTAGATCGACATGGGCAAATATGGAGAGGGATCGGCGTGACATATTGTGTGTACAAACGAATCTTACACGAGTCCCGCACGCACAAAATTAGCTGTCTCACCGCCGCGACTCGGCGGGACGCGATTCAACATCCAGCTTTATTGCCCGTCTTTTAATAGGTCTGAATAGAGATGTACGATTGCGATTGAATATTTCGCTCGTGTGCGGATGATCCATTGCGCAAAGATAAGAACTTCGTGGAATTGCGATCGCGATTGTGAATTGTGAATTTCCTCCTTCACCGGGAGGATACATTCTCCTCGCGTTTTTTTTATACGTTTATCGATTTTGAGCTTAGACGTGAAAGCGGTCTGACAAGGTCATTTGACAAGGAATTAATTTAAAGATTAGTCACAGATGTTGCATCAGAAATCATTTGTTCGCGATAAATCGAAATTTATTCATGGCAAATGCTGCCACAAGCCACTTGAAATCAATCTTCAAGTGTAATCACAATTTTATCGCGACAATGCCGGGGAATCCCGCGTTTATTTATTCGAATATTTATTGATCGAATCAATTTTATCGAGATCGTTTCTCGAGGTCGCTTCCGAAATTTTGAATGTTATCGAATTTGTATCGACTTTTACCGTTTGACGGTCAATCAATTCCCCGATGCGATTACGTAGTGTTTTGTACCGTAGTGAGTTTTGTTTCGAAGAGATGAGACCGCAAGAAAGTCCGTGTTCACCAACTGGAAAGAAACTTCGCTATGTCGGGCTTGATAAAATGGTCGGACTACACATCTCGTTTACTGACAAAAAGAAAAAAAAGGACGGCAACACGTCGCGACACGCTACACTTTCTCATCGCTCGAAACGCCGACCCGCCGGTAAAATTACGAACGCGCTTTCGCCGCGGAAACTTTTTTATGGCACGACAAAAGTTTCCGCAAACCTCGCTGAGATCCTGAACATTTCCATAAAACGGGACCGTCGTAATTGATATCAGCGTTACTTGATAAAAAAACGCACACCGGAGTCGTGTCGCGTCGCGCCGCGAGTTTATCGCGTGAATCACAAAATGGTCGTAACGTTGATGAAAATATAACTGCGGTGCGGTTTTTATTGACAATTCTTATTGAAGATCTGGGCAATTACGAGATATAAAGATATGATTAGATAAATAAAATAAATAAAAATAGATAAATAAAAATAAAAGATTTGATAAATATGATTTTTACAATCATCATAATTTATATTTATGACTACAATTATTTCGCGCCAGTATAGCCCCTCCCTCCCCCTCCCCCCCCCCCCAAGCTATCTTTATGAGATACAAAGCAATAAAATCTGGCATTATAAACATAATGAGCTGAATCTTTGAACTCGAGAAATGAGAGAGGTGGCTATTATGTAATAAACTGGGCCTTTCATCGCGACGAGCGGACCACGCCACCGCGGTCTTTGTCATGAATGCTGCCATAATGTATTCAATCGCTTTAGCCACGTCATTTGAATTGGTGACAATGTTAAGAACCGGAATTGGCGGAAGTGGAAGGGACGGGGGACGGGGGGATTGGATGTAACTCGCTACCGGCAACGACTTGGTCTCGTTTGCGGACGAGTACCAGTTTGTCGACCCGCGAATGAGGCCGCGCCGATGATGGGGTCTGTAGGTCACTCGAAGGCCCACCGATGATGACGACGCGCCGCGAATAAGACGCCCCGGGAATGTCGCGCGAGTCATTATGTGAATGACCTTTCGTGCCGAGAATGAGTTACGATTCCGGCGCGTAGAAGTGGTTCTCGTCAAGAGAGAGAGACGAGATGTCCGCCTCGGAATTTCTGCCCGGCGAGTTCAGCCAACTGCTCTCGCAATTATATTTCCGCAGAAAGCCAGTAGCGTTATGCAGAATCGGTGATAACCATAACGTTCCACAACGTTCTCCTGCACGAAGCCTATTTACAAGAACGCAATGGGCGACGTGTGACGTTATTAAGAAATATTAACAAATTTTTCACCGTGCGGTCGTACCTTTTAATATCTTTCTCGATCACACGTGCGACAAGAATCAAAATAATTTCCATATCGCGATATGAGATAATATGAGAATACTTCGAATTGATTAGATTTTTTTTTTGCAAAATCTATGTTAATCGTTATTGATATCCCATCCCGATATTCCTGTCCGATAAATGTCGGCTATTAATTATTTGTGATATAATATTGACGTAACTATCTCGATGTCTTTTTTAAAATCGATTGTATTGTTGAAATATGTGCGTTGTCGCTTTGTTTAATAACGTCGCGATAAGGATTACGGAAAGGTATGTTAGTTTTAGCTTTCTATTTTTGTACACTAAAAAAAAATTCATCTAACGTGATTGGTGATTGATTTTTGACCTACTCATATAAGATTAATCATATTTAGTGAAGTAGACGATCTTGATGTCTAGTATTGTCTCCATGATCATCAATCAATAACCATTCTATAATTTTTAATATTGAAGATCATTTATTTAAAGGAACGCAAAAAGTCCGCGGTCACAAAGGATATAATATTACAATAGGTTTTTTTTCTCTTTTGGACAAATAGTTGAATCCTTTCGATCAGTACCAGTTGGCCTTGGCATTACTATGAGTAGATTTGGTGATACGCATGATGGCATCGTTGCCATCGATTATGTTCGCTAGGAAATAATCAATATTATTCTTTTTTGTAAGTTGAAGTACGCTTGCACTTTATCGTTTGTCATAATCGTTTAAAGTTAGCTTGTTTTGCCACATAAACTGCTCTTACAATTTTAGCGATAAAAAAACGTTGATAATAAAAACGTTGATAATTATGATGTTACGGTACAGTTGATAATAAAATGTTGATAATAAAATTATGAGTTTCGATTAACATATTAGCTTACTATTACTATGTGCTTATTGACATTTTTTTTAAAACGATGTTAGAATATGTTATTTGAAAAGAGACTTGGATATTTGCATGTCGGAGTCAATCAATTAAAATTTAATGTATATTGAAATTTAATGTATATTGGGATTTCATATAAATTTTATGACGGTCAATACATTATAAAATAATTGAAAGAATATTGTTTGTCTTCCAGTTTTAGATTAATCTAATTTGGGGAACAATCAATATAGTTATCGTTTATATTTTGTATTATACTACTAAATATAAATGTTACATTATGTTATATTGTTATATACATAGTTTATATTATTTGACTTAATATTTGGTCAGTTTAACTGGTGTTACGTTTATATTGGAGATTTGTCGAGAAAACTATTTTTTAATATTATTTTAAGAGCTTTAACAGTCATAAAATATTTCTACAGGAAGAATTGTTGTCGATAGCGGTGTTAAATCTTAACAGACAAGATGATATTTTGAATAGAAATTAATTCAATGATAACTAATCAAAATACTTGGCTTGATTAATTTTATTTTTTTAGAAATTATTTTGTAATTCTCAACTCAAGTATTTCTCTTGCGCAAGATATTGGGTATTTTATTTAACAGACGCGTATATCTTGTCACATCTAGTCATATCTAGTTTTTAAATAAAATCTACAACCAAATCCCGATTATTATCATTTCATTATCATTGATAAGTCAAAGTGAAATATCGACTGCATCTCTGGACGTTGGAACCACTCTTTCTTCTTTTTGACACATGTGTAAAAACATTAATTAAAGGATTCAATCAGTGGAACAAATAATGGGGCAATAATTCGAAGCACTTTACTGTCGCACGTGTGACATGCTTATTTTCCTTGAAAACCGACGTAATATCCATAATAATTTTTGAAGCTGTTTTGTTGAAAATAAAGTTGGTATTTTAAAAGATTCGAGTAATTAGCATTAAATAGTCTGTAACTTGTTTGTCATCAAATAGCTATCAATCTTCTTGTACTACACACCTTAAATATTTTTGAATCGATATTGATTTCAAAGGAATTGAAAAAAATAATGTTTATAACAATAAATGATATTTATAACATTAAAATATTAAACATAATAATCAAATAAAATATTAAATATTAAATTATTTAACATTAATATTTTATTATTGTTTATTATTACTTAATTAATTTATATTTATTAATTAAATATTTATTTATATTATTGCAATATAATATACAGATTTATTTTTCAAAGACTGCGAATTAAAACTCTATCTTTTATTTACTTTTAACATTTTTAATATTTAATTGAATACAATTTTCTTTCTCAAGATATTCTTGTGAACAGTATGAGAGACACAGTTATCTCATATCTATATTATTCTGCTTAAAATTAAAGATGTACACGTAATTATACATCATTAATTTTAATAATTAATTTTTGATCTTGTAATTACAAAAATACGAATAAATAAAAAAGTCTTTGTTTAATCTTTATTATAATAGATACCTTGATTTGAGAATTCATTACCAAGGATATTAGAAATTTAAAGTTTGCAACGAAAGATAAGATGATTTCTCTGATAATTTTACTAACGAAAATTAATTCAAGTTTAAAAAGTTTAAAAAAAAGTGCCGATAAGATAACGGAGAATTGATTTAAATAAAAAGCATCACGTTTTCATAAAATAAATATTTTAATATTTAATTTTACATATAAGTCTATTTAGAAATCTATTTAGAAATCTATTTACATTTTTCGCGAGAAAAGTCTACTTAAAGTATCACGAACGAAGGAAATAACGACAGCCTCGAGACGCACTGTACATATTTGCTATACACACCATGTGCATGTTTATACGTCGCACATTGGTTTGGAATCTGCCTCTTTCGAGACACTTCATTGTATCATCATTCATTCGAAACAATTGTATTTTCCGCGCGTGTGGACTATTGTTCCTCGGAGGAATTTTACCGGGTTTTTTTTTTTTTTTCCTTTTCGCTTACGACTCGCTGATGAGCAAACAGGTGCGATTCAGGAAAAGCGCGTCGCGTGGGAGAAGACCTGAGAGCCGCGCCGGTGGGGCTCCCATGGCGTTGTCTAATTGGCCGACATGCGCGAGGTGTTCGCCTCTAAGTGTCGCGAGTTCGACCGTGTTTGTAACAGTGTCAGAGTGACCGTCGCACTGCGTGTCGCACTAAAGAACAGTCCCGACCTCGACTTTCTGGACGAGTCTTCTCAGAAATCCTTGTCGCCGAAGAGATTCGTCGATTGATCCCTTCAGCGCATAGCTGGTAACATGGTCGAAAACGGGATGACCCAGGATCGGAAGAAGTCGGAGATCAAGAAACCCGAGGTCTTCGACGTAGAAGTTCCCGCTCCTCCAGGTGAGCAAACAGACAAATTTATGATCACGAATTTACCTCGTAGCGACTCCTAAGTGGTTCTTTTAAATATGTAATGTCAGGCAGAAATACAAGATAAGTTATCTCGTGTGCGATCTTTGACTTTATTTGAATTCAAAATGTATTTTACTTGTTGCGCTTTTATTATCGTGAAAACACGTGAAGATATTTTTGCATGTCTGTAGTATCGAAATCTAAATTTATTGAAATACAAATGAGATTATCGATTAATACTGTAGGAAATTGTTTTTACGTATTATTTGTTTGATATAAAGAGTCTCTACGTTTTGGAGAGTCTCTTTAAAGAGTGAATACTGCGTAGTATTCACTCTTATATACGGAGATGTGAATTGACTTTCGATTTAAAATTTAAGATTTATGTGATAGAAATAAAATGATGTTAGACTGACAAAATTTTGTTTAACATTTTTAAAAATATTTTTAATTATGAAGTTGCAGATATTTATAATTATTACTTCATTAGTTAAAAATTTTATATTATAATCTATATATAATTTCGTGTAATGCAGTGTAATTATTTTTCATTCTCAAACTCGACATGCTTGATTTTATATATTTTTTGAATTAACATTATTGGAAAGAGAGTTAGGGAAAATAAGAGAACTCGTGATAACTCGTGAAGATATTATTTCAAAAGATAAAACTCGTGGAAGCTATATCGAGTAATTATAATTAATAATTATATTAATAATTATAATTTAATAATTTTATATAAAACTTAAATAACTACTTTTGATGATCTATATAATATTTTCAGTATGAGTTAAAGGGAGAACATTTATGAAAAGCGAAAGATTTATGACTACTACTTCAGGCGATCGTATTTCTTGTCTTTATTTTGTACTTCTATAGATGGGATCGAATCTTTTCATTTTACAATTCGTTACATATACTGGAAATACTACTCTTATTTTTCAATGCAAGGTCAACGATAGCGATAATGCTGGAATAAATAATTAACAGGTTCATTAACTCGTTTGAAAGTTAATTTTGTCTTGTAGTCACGAATTCTATAAATATAGTTTTATGTACTATTGCGATATTCAATTCAATTCAATATTAATTATTCATCCAATGCAGCTGATATATTATAATGTGTATCAAGTATTAAATTATTTATAATTTCTATTTAGCTTGTAATATCGAGACACGATATCACATAACGAAATTAAAGATAGTTTTAGAACTAAAAATCTTATTTATCTTAATATTTATCTCAATTCAAATATATTGTACTATTCTCTTCTAATTCTTTTCGATTTGTATATACATTTACATACTTTTTCATTCCATCAGAAATTTTATTTTAGAGAGAGTTTTTTCTAGAAATATACATTACGTGCTGAAATAACACGGATATATTACAATTGTAATTTTATTGAATTAAATTCATTAAAACCTCATATGTTTGTATGGTAAACATTTGTTTTAATATCAGAATAATTTATCAGAATAGCGCAATTTTTCATCTCATTACTTTTTTATACAAAATTAAGACATTTACATTATACACATTTTTTTTAACTTATAAACTTTAATATTGGTTGGTTTTATTTTCTGATGCTCTTTCAAAATAGTATGAGACGCGCGTACGTGATATTATTTTATTTTTTACGAAAGCTTATATTAATATAAACAAATCGACGAATTTAGAAAAAAAATTTTTGCACTTAATATAAATCAAGAAACGTATGCTTTTTAATGCGATACCTTTTTTTACGGAATGGTGAGCATTATTCGCAATTGTTACTAGTATCGTGCAAGACCTTGCATTTCACGTTTACGAAACGAACAACGGTGCTTGATAAAATCGTTCGCGCTTATTATACTAGCACGTTTACGTAAGTCGATCGATGCGAATCACCCGGCGGCATTTTGTTTGATGTATTCGCGCGTATCTAGTTCGACCCGGAAGTAATGTGATCACGTGATTTTGTTGGCGTTCCCTACTAATGGAATTGAAATGGCGATTTGAAGCATCCAGTAATTCTACGTAATATTAAACAAAACGTGCTGTCAGATAATTATACAGAATTTTAATTAACTCGCCTTCGCCACACAGCCTCTCGAAATTGAAACGTTTATGACTTCCAGTATAAAATATAAATGCCTCCTTATGCAACTTTAATTTTGTTTCGCGGTTTTTTTCGAGATGATTATTGTGGATTTAATAATTCGCAAGTGAGGCAACGCACCATAAATTTAAATAACACCGAATACTAGATAAAATATTGCTGCGTAAAATTATATATAAATTATGTTTCTTAAGGTTTCGTCATGTTAGTAACATTTACTTTAGTTCGGGTTATTTATTGCATTTTTACTTTGCGAAAAAATATCTTTAAATTTATATGAAACTTTACCTAAGTATATAAATAATTAACTTCTTAGAATTCTTAGTAATTTTTTTTACAATTCAAATTCAGAATTTTATTAATAATTATTTTGAAGAAATTTTTCTTATCGATCAAGACTTCTAGCAATATATTTTATTCGACAAAACTACTGCAATGAAGAAGGGCATATGTTTTTAAATAAAATATATCCTTGATTAATGCATGTTCTGGTGAGAAGAATAGAGAAACGACAATCATGACGACGATAGCGTGACAGTTAGAAAAACTATAATTGAAATATGAATAATATTAATAATGTCAAATATGTGTTTGAGTTGAGATTCACGCAACAATAACGAAGTCCATAGAAACTTTTGTTTTCTATTGTCTACGTTTTTCGCGGTCCACTGGTCTGCTATGTCGACATTCTCATAATCTCCTAAAACATGATTACTTCTTCTTTTTTCTTTATCTCGTGTTAAAACAATTCCGGATTTCTTTTCTCTTTATGTTGCAACGATCGGCAAGGCCCTGAGAATTCTCGGGCATGCGCCTTCGATCATTATCATTTGCAATTGATATTATCATCTACAATATTTTATTGAAAGATATTTTGTTAAAAATTTAAGGTAATATACATTACATTGAGAAAAGATAATTTTCGATTGATTTTAATCTCATAGAGTAATCTTTTTATCTTTGCTATTCCTTTATATTTTCGTTAATATTTTTAGTCCAAGGTCTGATCGGCTTATCATTCCCCTACCTTTCATTACTTCGCGAATCTACTTTTGTAAAAAAACAAAAAATAAAATAAAGGCGTTATATATATCAGGATTAGTTACGTTCGTGAAGATTCTTTCCGAATGAAAATAAGTGGAACAGTCGTCTGAATTGGAAAGTGGTTGAAAAAAGTGACAACCGTTAATTCGTTATAAATCGAGTTGCCTTCCAAGCGAGTCTTTTGAATTTTAATATTGAGCAAATGTTAAATACGTATGCGTATGCGAGGTAAAGAGCTTTTCAAGTTTAATTAATCAAGTGATTTAATATGTTCAATATATGCCTAATATACCCAACGGTTATGTAATCGACATAACAGATATGAAAGGGTTTTCGGTGAATAATGACAAGGATGAAGAAATTATTATTTTTCCCGTAATCTCGATTTTTATTAAAGCTGGATAAAAACAAAATGAAAGAGAATGGAAAGCCAAATATCAATTATAAAATATAAATCCTTATTGCAACGAAAAAATATCTTATAAAAATATATAAGGCATAATTTAATGAGCAACATTTTGATATATTAAAATATTTTTTATTTTAATCTCGTAAATGAAATGTTATACTTAACACGTAACTGTTGAGTCCCGCAAGTTTCACTCGTAGTATCGAACGAGTCTCAGTAATATTAATGCGTAAAAAATTGCAATTACTAGCATCGTAATTAATAGTATCATATAACACACACACACACACACACACACACACACACACACACACACATACATTGGATATATTAAACTTCGAGAGGCTTTGTGTGACATATCGTCGAATGAACGATGACTTCTTCGATAAACAAGTTCGAGAAACAATTCTTGTCGAATACGTCACGAATACGTCACGTGAATGACTTGAATTTCAAAAGTGTCACGATATAGTCTCGTGCTCGATAATCAAGTGGTTTTTCGATTATGTATCTTAACTCTTTAGCTAGCGTTATGTCTCTTGTGTCACACACATCGAGTTATTATAGGATACGTACCAATTATTTGTCACTCTTTTACCTATTTATTATTAGATAAGTCCTCATAAGATTACGCAATGTTTATGCTGACAACTTCCTTGTGTTTGCTAATTATCCAGGTAATCAAGATAATTTTCAAAAGATATTTAAAGAAAAAAGATTTTATCAAAAACTTCCGGTAAACATACAGGCGTCAATCACTTTATAAGTCATGTGTAACAAAAAATGTAAATATTGTAGGTTAAATAAAAGATTCTAGGTTAAATAAAAGAATTCTAAAAATTACATCCGTTGTCATGCGACTTTTTCTTATGTGTTTTTGTATAATTTTTGCGAAGTTTGTTATTATTTAACGACAAGATTGCGTTAACGTCGTCAAATTTTATGATATCATATGTCATTAATTTTTTATTTGTCTATATTTTGTTCGTAAATTCTAAATATCTCATAAACATCATATAGCAGTTCCTTTGCCATTCAACGTAACCATTCGACGTCTCTTTTTACCTTTGTAACCTTGAGAACAAGTATGAATATTAATATATGCCACAGTCACATATCTTTATACATAAAGATTTTATTTAATTGCAACTAGTTCAGCAAAAACTTGATTTCAGTTCTCATTAGCGTGTATTTTCGTTAAAATAACCCATTTTTGGATTTATTTCGAACTTATTTTAATACATTTCTATACGCTGCACTCTTTGAAGTTTGAAAATATTCTTTAGTTTAGAGTTCTTTTTTAGTGAATACCTCTTTTTCTTTCTCTCTCTCTCTCTCTCTCTCTCTCTCTCTCTCTCTCTCTCTCTCTCTCTTTCTGTCTCTCAGAATTTCATTCTATTGATGACAATCTTATCGTAGATAAAAGTTATAGA